CACAAAGTTTTCTCATTTGAAGCTTGTATCTCAAGTTATGATTTTTTGAATAAGGGCACTAAACCATCTTTTAACTTAGTGAAATTTGACCTATTTTGACAAGGTTTTCTACCCTACTTCAAGGCCACTTTTCATACCCTTCCACTTGGAATTTCAAATTGCATTTCAAAGATGGATTGTAGTACACATTACAAGCTTTCCAAAATGTCCAAGAACTCATCAAACAACCTCATAACTTGAGAGATTCGAATTTCACAAGTTGGCAAAAATTCACTTTTGTTCTTCATCAAAGCATGTTCATAAACTTGGCAAATTTAAATTCAGCATGCTTAAGCTACATTGCAGGCCTCTAATCCCATTCTCACTCAATAATTCAATGCATATCCTTTGTGTTCTAACATTATTTTGCTCATTTGGATAATACACACAAAATCAAGCCTAAACTAGAAAAAGCATGTTATCCATTCTTGTAAAGTGATACTTTATGGCAACTTTGCAAATCTATGAGGTACAATGCAGATCTTTGAAGCAAAAAAGCATAGGCATATCCCACTGATCAAGACTCAAAGGTGCAGCATAGATTGAGGCATTGTACTGGCCTAGAAACCAAGTTGACATTTGCTTGCTTCACATAGAAGTAACATCCATAACTTATGCTATCTCTCATATCAGCAAAAGAACACAGCACAAAAGATATCAAACACATTCCATAGACCACATTGAAGCTTTTGCTCGAGCCATTTGCCTTTCAAACCCTCTCCATCTCAGAATCATCCTCAAACTGCACAAACAGGGGTGCCCCTGCAGTTTGAGTGCAATCTCTCATTCCCTTCAAACATTTCTGTCCAAACCTGTTCCTCTACCTTCCTTACAACATATACAAGCTATCCAGAAGCTAAGGCACGATCTGTAGTTGCTCTAACCACTTCCACCATTTTCACATCTTTGACTTGCAGGTGAAGTTCAATAGCTTGATACAAGAAGTTTCAAGACAAAGTGAGCATTGAAAAAGCATCCCTGGACTTCAAGGAAGCTTTTCCAATCATTACATTGCACTGAAAGTCTCTCATTCTCCACATAGAAGTTCAACTGCACAGGTAAAAGTTTGAATTCGTATCTCTCTTATTAGGCATATTTAGTCTTAAGTTTGTGAAGAAACAAAGTCCTACTCATAGCCCTGAACATGTATATAGCTTTACTTTTCATTTCTTTTGTCTGAGTGAAGAGAATTTGAGCTCTGAAAATGGTAGAAAAACTAGGTCAGAAAAGAGGGGGAGAGAAATTCTCTCTCATCTTGGAGAGATAGGTCATGTTCTTTATATGGTTGAAACCGTCTCTTAATGCTCTACACTTTTCATGTTATGAGTTTTGCTTGAAAGTCCAGGAATCCAGAGTTAGAAAACACGTGTTTTGTGTGAAGAAAGCTGTACAGAGGTTGAAGAAGAAGTGATCTGGGCTGGGCCTGGATTTGTTTCCTTTTCACACCCCATTTTTTGGTTTACACCCCCCTGAGCCCATTTGTTTATTTTTCAACATTTTTGACTTTTTCTTTTTGGGTTGACTTTGTTTATTTTTTCTCATGCCATTAAAATTTTTAAAATATTTTTTCCATCATTTTTTGTATTTATGGCATATTTGTTTGTTTATTTCTTTTATTTATATACAAATATACATATACACTATTATTAAAATAAATAGAAAATAATGTAGATACATTTTTATTTTTATTTTTACTTTCTGAAAATATTTCACACAAAAAAAATACTTTTATTTATTTTATTAAAATATTAAATAAATATTTATTTTGTATAATACTCATTTAGGGTTTAATATATATATATATATACATGTTTATTAATATATTTAAGATAAAAATATAAAATACTTGATTTTCTTCATTTTTATTAATATTTGATACAAAAATACTTTTTTTTTACAAAATACTTCATTTTATTTTATTTTTGTACATAATAAATAAATAGTAGAATTAAATTAGATAATAATACTTTTTATATAAAAATTAGGGTTTTTCACCTTAAGTCCAAAATACTAAAAAATAAATACATTTTTATTTTCTTTTTTCCTTTTACATAAATATTTTCTCATACACATAAAAAACTTTCCTTTTTTACATTTCACATATTTATTTTATTTACATTTAAATTATGCAATTTATTTACCATGCAAATATCCAATTGTTGTAATAATTTAGATTTAAATTCTTGTCAATATCCCCATTTGAACATTTGTACCCCCCTTCCCATATTTGGTTTTGTAATAGCTTAGTAATTTTAATTTCGCACTTTATTGCTTTCTAAATAATAACATGCTAGAATTAGGGTTTGTATGCGAAAAAACGATAAAAAATAGTTTGACCTAATACAAGATAAACAAGCATGAAAATGGACACACAAATCACACTTGCACCCCCTAGGGTATTCCACTTGTTGCCTTCAAATAAATGGGCCATATTGTATGTTGAACATCTTTGGGCAAAGCAAACAGTTTGAATGATCATAGTCCCTCGATAAAACTTTTCAAAACAAACAAATGATCAAGTCCCTTAGAGAAATTGCCCAAAGACATTTAACGTCGTTACAATTATGGTCTAGACGATGACCCGCGCCTGTCCCTTTCACATCCTAACACAAGGTTGCCCACCAAATACAATGGTGGTGCAAACTTGTTAAAAGGGTTAAAGTATAGCAATGATCTTTTGAGAAATTTAGGAGTAGATAACCTCTTAGTTACTTGAATTAACTTGCAAAACAAAACACTTGCCTAATTTCAAAACCACAATCCACAACACTTTCAAAACAACTTTCAAAAACAAAATGAAAACCTTTTCAAAAGACATACATCTTTGTATACATCCCCACATGGATCATTACAAAGGTTGCCACCACATTGGCATCTTTTCAAAACATTTTCAAAAAAAAACCACACAAAGCACCATTTAAAACAATTGAAAACAAAAGGCAAGTGATCTAAGCAAGTAACTAAGAGCCCATGGATAACCATGGATAGAAAGGGTGCTAATACCTTCCCTTTCTATAATCTACTCCCCGAACCCAAGAAAACATCTCAAAAGGTTTTTGCTGTGCTTTTTAACCTTTCCTTAGGATAAAATAAAAAGTCGGTGGCGACTCTTGCTAACCGCAACATTTGCGAATACAAACGCAAAACTCAAGTCAGTTCTCCCACCGTATCACACCAGGGGTGGGTGTTGAACCCACGCCCTTAGCTCTTTTTCCCAACACCTTCACCACTACGCCAAGTGCGCGCTTATGTCTGAAGAATGGGATCAGCACGCTTTGTACGTTAACCTGCAAAAATCAGAAATTATGAAAAAAGTAGCAAAAGGCATGGATCTAGGCATGGCAAAAAAACCCAGACCCGCTGGGCCCCGCCTGGACCCGCCCCGAAATTAACGGGGAAAACCCGGCTAAAACGGGTACGGGTGCGGGGGCGGGTAAAACCCGGTTTCTAACTACGGGTGCGGGGGCGGGGGCGGTAAGACACTGAGACCCGCCCGCACCCGCACCCGCCCCGCCCCGAATAATAAAATTACTATAATAACCTTATTTTAATTATTTTTATGTTACTGTTACTTTTATTTTCTCACTTCTTAGAAGCATTTTCTCAAGTCTCATCTTCTTCTCTCAAATCTCAACGCAAAATCACCGCAAGTCCGCAACGGCCGACGGCGTTGCTGCCATCACCACTACCACAACATCATCCCATCAATGAAGGGTGCCTAACAACACCTTCCCATTCGAAATCGCTCACGAATTTCTCAAAACCTAATACTTGAGGTAATTGTTTTTTCTTGAATAAAGTCTCACAAAATCACTCATTCAATGTAGTAAAATTTATGTGAAGAATCTCTTTCTCCGGTTGACACGATTTCTGTCATAACAGATCCTTGTTGCGAAATCTCTTTCCGATCTTCGCTACGGTGCATTTTCTCCGATTGATTTTAAGGTTAGTTGATGTTGATTTTAAATTTTTTCAGATGTAATTATCATTAATTTCTCCATATGAATGCTATAATGTCAATAGATGTATGAATATTCTCATGTTGCTTAGATGCAAATAACTTGTGAATTGTGATATTATTTACTGATAATAAAGAAGCAGAACCACACAATTTTTCCTCTTTTTGGAAAGATAAACTACTTTATCAATGCTAAATCATTTTTACTATGGATTCAAAACCTGAATTATAACACTTCTAAGTGAGAAATGAGAATTCAAATGTAAACAGGCGTGACAAAGAACTTTCCATGCTATAGAATAGTTGTATGTTGTGTCTATGCTAGCTATTATAATGTGTCTATAAGCTATTTTAGTGTGTGTGTGTGTATATAGCTATAGTCTTGAGAATTTGAAAGTTCATCCAAAATATATATAGTCTTGAAATAGATCCCAAGTCCAAATAGATAATTTTATGATACTATGGAATCATATGAACTTTTGTTGTATTGTAAGGTGGAAGATTCCTTTTACTCTCAACGGTTTCTAATGTGATATTGCACTTTTGGACTAGTAAAGGTTGTTAAATTCACTATGAGGTTTTCTATAGTTAAAACTTCAAGTAACAGAGTTCAAGTCAGTAGCATTCCGGAACCGAGCATTTTTGTTTAACTTATTGTCACCTGTTACTTGCTCCCTCTGTTATAAAGCTCCTGAAAATATCTCTTATCTTTTCTTAGAATGTGAAATTTTATAGCAACCTTTATGCTCATCTGTTATTGGCTACCGGGTTCCTGCTGTCATGGAGTTTTGTGAATGGCTTGCTAGTCTCCTTTCATGCGGGGATACGTTTAACTGCCAGCTTCTTTGCATGCTAAGACTAACTTTTCCTGTGAAAATTATAATCATAGAAATAAATGAATCATGTCTGAGCAACTTGAAAATAATACGTAAGCTAGAGCGAAAGACGGAAAAGAAAAAGGTTACCTGCAAACCTCTAAGCTACCTTCGAAATTTAATTCCATTCAACGCCATAAACTCGTAATTCTGTCAACTATATTATTCAAGAACAAGACATATTTATGTCTCCAAGTCCTGATGAGAAACAAAGATCCCCACAGTGCCCAAAATCCTGTGATAAATCCCAATCCCACACTCAAATAAATTGATTTTTTATCTTCTGGACTACCTTCTTCAACTGTTTCTGGTTTCTCGTGTGCGGCTTCTTCATCTCCCGGACATTTTTATCAAGTGGCTTCCCACAAAGATCAGCATTCCCTTCATAACTTGACGCAACAAAACTTTGTAACTGCGTGCCTATTGGAATTCTTCCAGACAGATTGTTATTAGACAGATTTAACAAGGACAGACGATCAATTTGAGCTAGAGAAGAAGGAATTGGGCCAAATAAATGGTTTCTCGACAAGTCAAGAAATTCAAGTGATGTTAATCTTCCAATCTCTGAAGTGATTTTTCCGGTCAAATGGTTGCTTGATAAATTCAACGAGACTAATTCTATCAAGTTTTCTATTTCTTTTGGAATCTCTCCAATCAATTGATTGCTTGAAAGATCAATACTCCTCAAAATGAGCTTATTATTCTTGAATTGTTGTTCTGTGCCTTTCCACATCAACAATGCAATAATATCAAAGCCTTCAAAGTTCTCTCTATAGGTAACTATGTAATATAAAACGGATTCTGTGGAAATAGCTGATAAAACATCTTGAGACATTGCAGAAAAATTATTCATGCATTTGAAAATTCGTCCTGATAGATTGTTTTCCGAGAGATCCAACAACTGAATGTTTGTTAAGTAACAAAGACTCCGAGGGAGACTTCCATAGAATTGGTTCTTTAGTAAACTTAACATTTGCAATTGTTGTCCTAACCAATTCGGTATTGGTAAAGAGCACAACCAGAGAGCCTCAGTTCTTGTATTTTCGGAAGCTTGGCAATCGTTTGCAGCCAGACATGAGAAGAATTGAGATAGGGCATGCCACTCAAGTCAAGATGAGTTAAAAGAGTGAGATTAGAAAACCACTGACCTCCAGCGTGATTATTCTCGTCATCAACTTTGAGTCCTTGATTATATTGAAGATGAAGCTCCTGCAAGTTTGAAAGGCTTCCAAGTTGATGCGGAATGGTTCCATCAAGGCCATTATATGAAAGATCAAGGTACTGCAAACGAGAGAGATTTCCAAGATGACGAGGAATGGTTCCATCTAAGGCATTATAACTGAGATCAAGGTATTGTAAATGCAAGAGACTTCCAAATTGACGCGGAATTGTACCCTCAAGGCTATTGCTCGAAAGATCAAGATATTGCAAGTTTCCAAGACGAGCAAAACCACTTGAAATTTCTGTCGAGTAAGACGAGGATTGGAGGTCAAGGAATCCAGCTTCTGTGAGTCTGTTGGGCTACTATCAGCTTTATTGCTCAAGTCTTCTGAGCTCAGACGGTCACGACAATCCAAAAGTAATTGAACAGCCTGTAGAAGAAAGATTTGAAAACATTCACTAGAACCACCGGATGAGCAAAAGATAAACCTTATATTTCCGTAAAATATGAGCATTGAGAACCAAAAAGATCATAGTATGCGCGTTTAGGAGCTTCGGGTCGAGCAACTATCTCCACAACTTTATAAGATGACTCGGGATAAGCCAATGATTCCACAGCTACCTCTGCAACTTGATCTCTGGATATGGAACCTTCATATAGTGTATCCTGATACAAAGAAAACCAAATAATTATGCATTTGTTCTAACAAACATATAAATATAGATTCTGTTGTAGAAATAGAGATTCAGATATTTAAGCAAGCAATACCTCTGGCTCCATAACAACATTTCCGGTAGGAGGATCATTTTTCAACCCTCCTGGCCTTATTATTGTGTAATTTATACCAGATTTCCTGATATGATTTTCTGCCTATAATTTTGCTACTAAGGTGAGGCCGAAAACATTGAGAAAAATGTAAGCTGGATTGAGTAGCTGTCCCATAGCTGCTCCATTGACTAAAATGGAACTTATAAGAATGAATCTGTTAACATTGACTTTCCTGCATGCTTCAACAAGGTTCACAGTGCCGAAATTGTCAACCTGCATAATATATCCCTTTATTATAAGAAAGCATTGTCTAATAACAAGAGATAATATCCCACCCAACCTACAACGGTATTTTGTTTCATTGGCTTTCTTTATAACCTGATAAGTATTTTTTTTAATGATATGATGCAATTTACAGGACAAATAATGTTTCAAATTAGTATTACATATATTTCATCCCTTAACCAGTGAAGAATATAAACTTGAAAAGTATTTATGCAACAGAGTGCACATGTGTTAACCGCAGATCAATGGAATGTTTCTCCATCAGCATCCTCAATTTTATTTAATATTGAAAATGATGTTGGTTACACTAAAACAATAGCCATAGAAAATGGTGTCACAGTTTATATTAATAAGTGTTTTGTATTTTGTATTTTGTTAATATGATTCTTTTTTTGTGTTTTGTATTTTGTTAAATTACTAATAAGTGTTTTGTATTTTGTTAATATGATTCTTTTTTTGTTTCATTGACCAAACAAAGCCTTGTATCCAAATAAGGCGTTAGAAACTTAGGCTAGAGGCTTTTCTTATCATAGAAGCATGGAGTTTGTACATGTCCTATGACTTAAAGTTAACAAATAAACTCCAAGTTTAATGCAATTGGTAGCCTTTGTTAAGAAAGTGTTACTCAACAAATATTTTTGAACATTTTCTTTCACACTTATGGTAAAACTCTTTTTTCTTTTTATGGTTACGCAGCATGATTTGTGCAAAATGTATTTGAAAGAGACGATTTTAATTGGAACTGTATTTTATGGTTACGTATATATTTCATTTATTAATACTAGTTTATTATATATTTCATTTATTAGTACTAGTTTATCCTTATTCTTATTTTGAATACTAGTTTATTCTTATTCTTATGTACATCTTAATTATTTTACAGGATAATTAGTTATGGAAAATGAAGATACCTCTCAAATAGGATGTCCACCTATCTCACAAGAAAGTACACATCAACCTATTCCCAATGAAAGTGGTAACCAATCAGTTGATGTTCCTCCTCCCACGCCAAATGATATTATGGAGGTTGATAGCCAAACAACCACAAGTCATCGATCCAGACAGAAAAGTTTTGTATGGAATCATTTTACAAAGGTCAAAGTTGACGGAAAAGATAAGGCTCAATGTAATTATTGCTCAAAGAAGCTTAATGGATCATCAAATGATGGGACGTCACATTTAAAAGGACATTTGGGATGTTGTCCTAAAAAGAAGATTTTGAACCTATCTGATAAAGGACAAACAATTCTTACGCCTAGATCCATGCAAGGTAAACAAGAGTTGAGTACTGGAATTTATGATGCAGAAAATTCTAAGAAAGAGCTTGCACATGCAATTATTTTGCATGAATATCCGCTTTCAATAGTGGATCATATTGGTTTTAGAAGATACTCAACTTCTCTCCAACCAATATTCCAAGTTCCTTGTAGAAATACTATAAAGAAGGAGATACTCAAAGTATACAATATGGAGAGATCATCAACTTTGAAGTTGTTAGAAAATCTTGAAGGAAGAGTGGCTATTACTTCTGACCTTTGGACCTCGAGCAATCAAAAAAAGGGATATATGGCTGTCACTGCTCATTACATTGATGGAAACTGGAATTTACAGAGTCACATTTTGAGGTAAATCTAATTTCTTCGAATAATACATTAATTGCATATTATATATAGTTTTGTAATCACATTTTGAGGTAAATATAATTTCTTCTAATAATAGATTAATTGCATATTATATATAGTTTTGTGAATCACATTTTGAGGTAAATCACATTTATACTAGTTTTGTGAATCTTATTATGTTAGGTTCATTTATGTTCCTGCACCTCATACTAGTGAAAACCTTTGTGGTGCATTGGTTGAATGTTTGATGGATTGGAACATTGATTCAAAATTGTCTACTATCACTTTGGACAATTGTAGCACAAATGATGCAATGATTGATAAAATTAAGGCTAAGTTGAAACCAGAGACATTATTAAGGGACGGGGCCTTACTTCATATGCGTTTTTGTGCACATATACTAAATTTGATAGTAAAAGAAGGGTTAGAAGTTGTGAAAGATGGAATAGAGATGATTCGAGATAGCGTTGCATTTTGGACAGCAACTCCTAAAAGGAAGGAACGGTTTGAGGAGACATGTAAACAATTAAAAATACCTTGCACCAAGAATTTAGTTTTAGATTGTCCAACTAGATGGAATTCTACCTATAAGATGCTTGATGTTGCTATTTTGTATGAAGAGGTATTTAATAGATTAGCAATCCGTGTAACTCAGTACACTTGTTTGCCAACAACTTTACATTGGAAATTTGCAAAAGAGATTTGTGTAAAATTGAAATTGTTCAATTCTATCACTGAAGTGTTTTCTGGAACTAAGTATCCCACTGCCAATGAATACTTCCCTAAGATTTGTCAGATTAAAGTTTCATTACTTGAGTGGATTGAATCCTCTGACGAATTGGTAAAAAGAATGGCAGAAAATATGTTGGTAAAGTTTGAAAAATATTGGAGTGTGATTCATGAAATAATGGGGGTTGCTGCTGTTTTGGATCCTAGGTATAAAACTGATTTGCTTGAATATTATTATGGAGTGTTCTATGGGAATGATGTTGATTCCCAAGTTAAGTCAATCAGACAGTTGTGTTACGAGTTAGTTTATGATTATCAATTAAAAATGAACAAGGATTCTAGAAGTGAATCTGAAATGTTGGATGCTAATGTTGGAAATGTTAGTAATGATGGTTTGAAAGACTATGATTTGTATGTCATAAGAAAAAAAAAAGCTAGAACTTCATCTGTTAAAACAGAGTTGGATGTTTATTTGGAAGAGGAAGTTTTACCAAGAAGTCCAGATTTTGATATTTTATTATGGTGGAAGTTGAATGGGATTAAGTATCCAACACTTCAAGCAATTGCAAGGGATGTATTGGCAATTCCTGTTTCTACCGTGGCTTCTGAATCCGCATTTAGTACAAGTGGTCATATCGTAAGCCCTCATCGAAGTCGACTTCATTGGACCACTTTAGAAGCTTTGATGTGTGCAAGAAGTTGGTTATGGAGTGCTGAGAATAATGGTAAAGATCTTTCTTGTTTATATTTTTTATTTTTACTTGCCAAGACTATCATTGACTATATTTTACTATATTGATAGGTAATTTGAAATCTAACGTGGGAAATGAAAATGCTATTTTACTAACTGAAATGGAGTCTGATGATGAAGGTATTATTCATACTATTTGTATTAAATTTGTCAAGTTAAATTTTTATATTTTAACTTTTATTTTTTAACACAGGTGAGTTGTTGATTGATGGTGCTACTTCTATTTCCAACTCCCGCCTCGAAGATGAAGATTATTAGAAAATTTGTTGTTTATTTGGATCTTTTTTTGTTATGATGATATCGTATATTTTGTTCCATGTTGTTGGAATGGTTATTTTGTTCCATGTTGTTGGAATGGTTATTTTGTTGATTGTATTGTTTTAATTTTGTATTTGTACTTTGCAAAAAAATTGTTGGTTGTTGGGAGTGATTTATACTTTGATATATTGAAAGATTACACTCTTTTAATGAATCACAAGTTCACAACCAATTATAGTTGAATGAAGGGTTATGATAGA